ACATGGCTACAATCATGAACAAATTATAGTGTAATGAGCAATTCACACTTCCACACCCGGTCACAATTGTAATGAGTTATTGGTGCAAATATTGATTGTTGAGTCACATACATACACACACACACACACACACACACACACACACACTTTAGTTTAATATGTTTATTATGCACCCCATACCCATCCTGTGGGCGGTAGTCAAAAGATTACAAAGGTACATAATGGGTCTAGTGACTGGACCCCAAAGTTATGATAGCTGAACTAGTTACAAAGGTAATGAACTCCAGGTAGATCTGGTCACAATCAGGCCCGGTGGCCTGGTGGCTAAAGCTCCCGCTTCACACACGGAGGGCCCGGGTTCGATTCCCGGCGGGTGGAAATTCCGACACGTTTCCTTACACCTGTTGTCCTGTTCACCTAGCAGCAAATAGGTACCTGGGTGTTAGTCGACTGGTGTGGGTCGCATCCTGGGGGACAAGATTAAGGACCCCAATGGAAATAAGTTAGACAGTCCTCGATGACGCACTGACTTTCTTGGGTTATCCTGGGTGGCTAACCCTCCGGGGTTAAAAATCCGAACGAAATCTTATCTTATCTTATCTTAAGTTACAGAGGTAATGAATCAGCTTCACTCCTATACATGGTTACAGTCATGAACAAATTACAAAGTAATGAACCACTGATACGTCCACACCTGGTCACAATTGTAATGAGTTATAAATACAAATATTAAGTGGATCATACACCCACACTAGCGCGCGCGCGCACATACACACACAAGGGCGCACGCACGGACATGTGCACACGAGCGTACAAATATATGCATACACACAAGGACGCACACCCACACACACACACCCACACACACACACACCAACACCCACACACACACCCTCACACACACCCACACACACACCCTCACACACACCCTCACACACAACCCTCACACACACCCACAACACACACCCTCACACACACCCACAACACACACCCTCACACACACCCACACACACACACCCACACAAGCACACACACACACACGCACACACACACCCTCACACACACCCTCACACACACCCCACACACACACTCTCACACACACCCACACACACACACACACACACACACACACACACACACACACACACACACACACACACACACACACACACACACACACACACACACACACACACATGTGGTAATGCTTTATTTACAGCTAGCAAAGTCAGGGTATTTCTCCAGAATGGTCTGTAATATACCACTGTGGATAAAATACTTCGCCATTTCTTGAACATTTCTGAGTGAGTTGTTTCTAAATTCATTAATTTTATCGCACTCCAGTACATAATGACGCAAGGTGTGACGCACTCCAGTACATAATGACGCAGGGTGTGACGCACTCCAGTACATAATGACGCAAGATGTGACAATAGTCCATCTGGCAAAGTTTACATTTCGTTTGGTCTACATCTGGTGGTGGTGATTTAACCTGCCAAAGATACTTGTAACCCAGCCGGAGCCGGGCCGTAGTGACATCCAAGAGTCTGCTTATCTTGTTGGATGCACCATAGACATGTGGCTCCTCCTGCATGATGGAATGATGATAGATGGACTGACTTGTGTCAATCTCCCTAAGTCTTAAGTCAATAAAGTTCATTTGAAGTTCTTTTCGTATTATTGTTCTCAAACTGCTAATTTGTGAAAGAGTGTTCTGTGTGACTAAGTTATCAATACAGCTTAATGCATCATGTTTGGCTTCAAGACGAAGCTTTGGTTGTGATTTAAGAAGAGTTTTGGGGGAAATGGAGGAATGGTAGTTTGAAATGGGGTAATATCCCATGGAGCAGGGAAATGTCTCTGTTGTCTAACTTGATACAGATCATGTAGCTGGTTCATGCGGAGGTCGCTTCCAGTTTTTTCGATCCATCTGGAAGGATGTTCACCAGTGCTGAGGAAAGTTTGGAGGGCTTCTGTGCAGGGGTTTGAATGGGCTAACCTAAGCATATTGACCCCAATAAGGATATTTCTTTCAGGAACACGATCTCTAATGCTTGGAATATTAAGTTCTTTCCGCATATTTAAAATTTTGGCAGTACGAGGGCATCCTAGGATGATCCTCATTGCTTCGTTTTGCAGCTTTTCCAGCCCTCCAAGCTTCCAGTCAGACACGAGTGCAAGTAGTGGCGCCGCATAATCAACCAATGATCTAATATAAGCAAGATACATAAGTTACTGTGCATTCAATAGAATGTAGTATTCTATTAGGTAATGCAATTAAATAAACAAAGTTTGATAGGGTCATAGGTTATAATTTATGAGATACAGTTATTCAGTATTTATTTAGTTGTGAGTAAGAGGTTTTTAAGAAGAGACTTGAATTTATAAAGAGACAGTATTTCTTTTATGTTCACAGGTAATGAATTCCAGATTTTTGGGCCTTTTATGTGCATTGAGTTTTTGCATAGTGTGAGATGGACACGAGGAACATCAAAGAGTGAGCTGTGCCTTGTGTTGTGGTCATGTGTTCTGTTGAGGTTGGTAAGGAGACGTTTGAGGGAAGGGTTTATATCCGAGTTAAGTGTTCTATGCATGTAGTGGGTACAATAATAAGTATGCATGTTTCGTACGGTGAGTAAGTTTAGAGTTTTGAATATTGGTGGAGTGTGCTGCCTGTAGTGGGAATTTGTTATCATTCTGACTGCAGCCTTTGTTGGGTAATTAATGGTCTGAGATGGTTTATTGTTGTTGAGCCCCATGCACAAATTCCATAGGTGAGATAGGGGTAAATTAGTTCCTTGTTCATCTGTTATCCTAGTCTCCATCTTACTCTTAATTCTTTCAACAATAACTCTCCAAAAGAGTCCTCAGTGAGTGAAAAATCTCTCTCCCAAAGAGTTCCCAGTGAGTGAGAAGTCTCTCTTCCCAGGAGTCCCCAGTGAGTGAGAAGTCTCTCTCCCCAAGAGTCCCCAGAGAGTGAGAAGTCTCTCTCCCCAAGAGTCCCCAGTGAGTGAGATGTCTCTCTCCCCAAGAGTCCCCAGTAAGTGAGAAGTCTCTCTTCCCAAGAGTCCTCAGTGAGTGAGATGTCTATCTCTCCAAGAGTCCCCAGTGAGTGAGAAGTCTCTCTTCCCAAGAGTCCCCAGTGAGTGAGAAATCTCTCTCCCCAAGAGTCCCCAGAGAGTGAGAAGTCTCTCTCCCCAAGAGTCCCCAGTGAGTGAGATGTCTCTTTCCCCAAGAGTCCGCAGTAAGTGAGAAGTCTTTCTTCCCAAGAGTCCTCAGTGAGTGAGATGTCTCTCTCCCCAAGAGTCCCCAGTGAGTGTGAAGTCTCTCTCACCAAGAGTCCTCAGTGAGTGAGATGTCTCTCTCCCCAAGACTCCCCAGTGAGTGAGAAGTCTCTCTGCCCAAGACTCCCCAGTGAGTGAGAAGTCTCTCTCCCCAAGACTCCCCAGTGAGTGAGAAGTCTCTCTCCCTAAGACTCCCCAGTGAGTGAGAAATCTCTCTCCCCAAGACTCCCAAGTGAGTGAGAAGTCTCTCTGCCCAAGACTCCCCAGTGAGTGAGAAGTCTCTCTCCCCAAGACTCCCCAGTGAGTGAGAAGTCTCTCTCCCCAAGACTCCCCAGTGAGTGAGTAGTCTCGCTCCCCAAGACTCCCCAGTGAGTGAGAAGTCTCTCTCCCCAAGACTCCCCAGTGAGTGAGAAATCTCTCTCCCCAAGACTCCCCAGTGAGTGAGAAGTCTCTCTCCCCAAGACTCCCCAGTGAGTGAGAAGTCTATCTCCCCAAGACTCCCCAGTGAGTGAGAAGTCTTTCTCCCCAAGACTCCCCAGTGACTGAGAAATCTCTCTCCCCAAGACTCCCCAGTGAGTGAGAAGTCTCTCTCCCCAAGACTCCCAAGTGAGTGAGAAGTCTCTCTCCCCAAGACTCCCCAGTGAGTGAGAAGTCTCTCTCCCCAAGACTCCCCAGTGAGTGAGAAGTCTCTCTCCCCAAGACTTCCCAGTGAGTGAGAAGTCTCTCTTCCCAAGACTCCCCAGTGAGTGAGAAGTCTCTCTCACCAAGACTCCCCAGTGAGTGAGAAGTCTCTCTCCCCAAGACTCCCCAGTGAGTGAGAAGTCTCTCTCCCCAAGAGTCCCCAGTGAGTGAGAAGTCTCTCTCCCCAAGACTCCCCAGTGAGTGAGAAGTCTCTCTCCCCAAGACTCCCCAGTGAGTGAGAAGTCTCTCTCACCAAGACTCCCCAGTGAGTGAGAAGTCTCTCTCCCCAAGACTCCCCAGTGAGTGAGAAGTCTCTCTCCCCAAGACTCCCCAGTGAGTGAGAAGTCTCTCTCACCAAGACTCCCCAGTGAGTGAGAAGTCTCTCTCCCCAAGACTCCCCAGTGAGTGAGAAGTCTCTCTCCCCAAGACTCCCCAGTGAGTGAGAAGTCTCTCTCCCCAAGACTCCCCAGTGAGTGAGAAGTCTCTCTCCCCAAGGCTCCCCAGTAAGTGAGAAGTCTCTCTCCCCAAGACTCCCCAGTGAGTGAGAAGTCTCTCTCCCCAAGACTCCCCAGTGAGTGAGAAGTCTCTCTCACCAAGACTCTCCAGTGAGTGAGAAGTCTCTCTCACCAAGACTCACCAGTGAGTGAGAAGTCTCTCTCACCAAGACTCCCCAGTGAGTGAGAAGTCTCTCCCACCAAGACTCCCCAGTGAGTGAGAAGTCTCTCTCCCCAAGACTCCCCAGTGAGTGAGAAGTCTCTCTCACCAAGCCTCACCAGTGAGTGAGAAGTCTCTCTCACCAAGACTCCCCAGTGAGTGAGAAGTCTCTCCCATCAAGACTCCCCAGTGAGTGAGAAGTCTCTCTCACCAAGACTCCCAAGTGAGTGAGAAGTCTCTCCCACCAAGACTCCCCAGTGAGTGAGAAGTCTCTCCCACCAAGACTCCCAAGTGAGTGAGAAGTCTCTCTCACCAAGACTCCCAAGTGAGTGAGAGGTCTCTCTCCCCAAGACTCCCCAGTGAGTGAGAAGTCTCTCTCACCAAGACTCCCCAGTGAGTGAGAAGTCTCTCCCACCAAGACTCCCCAGTGAGTGAGAAGTCTCTCCCACCAAGACTCCCCAGTGAGTGAGAAGTCTCTCCCACCAAGACTCCCCAGTGAGTGAGAAGTCTCTCCCCAGAAAGTATCATAAGTCTTGCACTGATGTCTTTATTCCGCTGTTCATATACAATAAATAATCTGAGGTACGATAACAGTTCTTAGCTTATAAAAGACTTATATAACTGGATAAACCAGAGCAATGACCTCACGTAGCTCCACCCACACCATCTCTGCTCCCTCACGTAGCCCCACCCACTCCATCTCTGCTCCCTCACGTAGCCCCACCCACACCATCTCTGCTCCCTCACGTAGCCCCACCCACTCCATCTCTGCTCCCTCACGTAGCCCCACCCACTCCATCTCTGCTCCCTCACGTAGCCCCACCCACTCCATCTCTGCTCCCTCATGTAGCCCCACCCACTCCATCTCTGTTTCCCTCACGTAGCCCCACCCACTCCATCTCTGCTCCCTCACGTAGCCCCACCCACTCCATCTCTGCTCCCTCACGTAGCCCCACCCACTCCATCTCTGCTCCCTCACGTAGCCCCACCCACTCCATCTCTGCTCCCTCACGTAGCCCCACCCACTCCATCTCTGCTCCCCCACGTAGCCCCACCCACTCCATCTCTGCTCCCTCACGTAGCCCCACCCACTCCATCTCTGTTCCCTCACGTAGCCCCACCCACTCCATCTCTGCTCCCTCACGTAGCCCCACCCACTCCATCTCTGCTCCCTCACGTAGCCCCACCCACTCCATCTCTGTTACCTCACGTAGCCCCACCCACTCCATCTCTGCTCCCTCACGTAGCCCCACCCACTCCATCTCTGCTCCCTCACGTAGCCCCACCCACTCCATCTCTGTTCCCTCACGTAGCCCCGCCCACTCCATCTCTGTTCCCTCACGTAGCCCCACCCACTCCATCTCTGCTCTTTCACGTAGCCCCACCCACTCCATCTCTGCTCCCTCACGTAGCCCCACCCACTCCATCTCTGTTCCCTCACGTAGCTCCACCCACTCCATCTCTGTTCCCTCACGTAGCCCCACCCACTCCATCTCTGTTCCCTCACGTAGCCCCACCCACTCCATCTCTGCTCCCTTACGTAGCCCCACCCACTCCATCTCTGCTCCCTCACGTAGCCCCACCCACTCCATCTCTGCTCCCTCATGTAGCCCCACCCACTCCATCTCTGCTCCCTCACGTAGCCCCACCCACTCCATCTCTGCTCCCTTACGTAGCCCCACCCACTCCATCTCTGCTCCCTCACGTAGCCCCACCCACTCCATCTCTGCTCCCTCACGTAGCCCCACCCACTCCATCTCTGCTTCCCTCACGTAGCCCCAACCACTCCATCTCTGCTCCCTCATGTAGCCCCACCCACTCCATCTCTGCTCCCTCACGTAGCCCCACCCACTCCATCTCTGTTCCCTCACGTAGCCCCACCCACCTCCATCTCTGCTCCCTCACGTAGCCCCAGGCCACATCCATCTCTGCTCCCTCACGTAGCCCCACCCACTCCATCTCTGCTCCCTCACGTAGCCCCACCCACTCCATCTCTGCTCCCTCACGTAGCCCCACCCACTCCATCTCTGCTCCCTCACGTAGCCCCACCCACTCCATCTCTGCTCCCTCACGTAGCCCCACCCACTCCATCTCTGCTCCCTCACGTAGCCCCACCCACTCCATCTCTGCTCCCTCACGTAGCCCCACCCACTCCATCTCTGCTCCCTCACGTAGCCCCACCCACTCCATCTCTGCTCCCTCACGTAGCCCCACCCACTCCATCTCTGCTCCCTCACGTAGCCCCACCCACTCCATCTCTGCTCCCTCACGTAGCCCCACCCACTCCATCTCTGCTCCCTCACGTAGCCCCACCCACTCCATCTCTGCTCCCTCACGTAGCCCCACCCACTCCATCTCTGCTCCCTCACGTAGCCCCAGCCACTCCATCTCTGCTCCCTCACGTAGCCCCACCCACTCCATCTCTGCTCCCTCACGTAGCCCCACCCACTCCATCTCTGCTCCCTCACGTAGCCCCACCCACTCCATCTCTGCTCCCTCACGTAGCCCCACCCACTCCATCTCTGCTCCCTCACGTAGCCCCACCCACTCCATCTCTGCTCCCTCACGTAGCCCCACCCACTCCATCTCTGCTCCCTCACGTAGCCCCACCCACTCCATCTCTGCTCCCTCACGTAGCCCCACCCACACCATCTCTGCTCCCTCACGTAGCCGCACCCACACCATCTCTGCTCCCTGTCACCCTACATCACCACGCCCTAGTAAATACTCCCTCCCTCCCTCCCTCCCTCCCTCCCTCCCCTCCCTCCCTCCTCACTTCCTAGCTTACCATGCAAATCAAGGCCCAAATGCTTCAAATAAGATACCAACAGGTGTTTGAAAGAGACACCTGCGCAACGTTACCTAACATTTATTAATGTAATCAGTGGATTGATAAAGTGTCTTTTGGGCGACACAGTCACCTATCCTTATATAAATGTCTGTTGTTCGCTCCTAAAATAAATTCGCGTGTCCTACACACCACCACTAATATAGAGGAACATTGTTCTACGCTTTCTGGTCACTGTTAGTTAGGTTCTATCTACACCCAGTTATTCCCACTCTTACACTTGTCCAGTTTACTATTATAATTACACGAAGTACTGTCTTCTGTAATGCTGAAGTGTACAGTAGGTCTGTTGGTAGCACACTTAACTCACACCTTTAGGTCCATAGTTTGATCCCCGGTAAGGGTGGATATATAAGGGCATGTTTCCTTAAGACACCTGATCACCTAGAAATAAGCAGTTACCTGGGTGTTAGTTGACTGATGTGTGTCGCATCCTGGGGACAAAATCAGCCTAAAATTACCCGAAATACTCTGCATAAGCAGAGTATGTCACTGATATCAGTTATGGTCTTTATGAGTTGCATCATGTGCTTGTAGAAATAAAGATTATAATTATTATTATTATTATTATTATTATTATTATTATTATTATTATACTCGGCAAATTGCTATACTCATCTTTACGTCATATGTCAACCCGGTACTTTCCTATATTCCTTAATAAATTCTGAAGAGCTACTTCCAGTTCGTGTAACAGCGATGAATGTACAGGCTGAGACGTACTACTTATCCTCAGCACATTTAGAAGCCCACAGTCGAATAACACCCTAGTACCTATTGACTACTTAGGGGACATGGCAGTAGGTGCACGGAATTATTCTAACCACTAACATGGAGTTAGTCAGTTGTAATCTCTTAAGGTTCCTGGTTCCTTATAACTTTATCCACAGACTTAATGGAAAACGGGTGCCTCGTGGCCTGGTGTCCAAAGTTCTTGCTTTACACGGTGAGGGTCCGGGTTCGATTCCTAGCGAAAGGGTAGAAACACCGGTTGTCTATGTTCACCCATCAGTAAAATGGGTACCTGGGTGTTAGTCGACTGGTGTGGATCGCATCCTGGGATAAAACTAACCTAATTTGCACCAAATGCTCAGTTTAACAAACGTCTTTCTATATATTAATATATCATTGATGTCAGCTAGGACTATACCTTGTACGTTATTATAATTATTTTTTCCAACAAGTCGGCCGTCTCCCACCGAGGCAGGGTGACCCAAAAAGAAAGAAAATCCCCCAAAAGAAAATACTTTCATCATCATTCAACACTTTCACCTCACTTATATATAATCATTGCCTTTGCAGAGGCGCCCAGATGTAACAGTTCAGAAGCATATATAAAGATACACAACATATCCCTCCAAACTGCCAATATACCGAACCCCGTCTTCAAAGTGCAGGCATTGTACTTCCCATTTCCAGGGTTCCAGTCCGGCTATATAAAAGTAAGAGGTTTCTCTGAATCCCTTCACTAAATATTACCCTGCTCACATTCCAACAGCTCGTCAGGCCCCAAAAACCATTCGTCTCCATTCACTACTATCTAATACACTCATGCACGCTTGCTGGAAGTCCAAGCCCCTCACCCAAAAAACCTCCTTTATCCCCTACCTACAACCTTTTCGAGGACGACCCCTACCCCACCTTCCTTCCTCTACAGATTTATACGCTCTTCATGTCATTCTACTCTGATCCATTCTCTCTAAATGACCAAACCATCTCAACAGCCCCTCTTCAGCCCTCTGACTAATACTTTTATTAACTCCACACATTCTCCTAATTTCCACACTTCGAATTCTCTGCATAATATTTACACCACACATTGCCCTTAGACAGGACATCTCCACTGCCTCCAACCGCCTCCTCGCTGCAGTATTTACAACCCAATCTTCACACCCATATAAGAGTGTTGGTACCACTATACTTTCATACGTTCCCTTCTTTGCCTCCATTGATAACGTTTTTTGTCTCCACATATACCTCAACGTACCACTCACTTTTTTTTCCCACATCAATTTTATGGTTAACCTCATCCTTCATAAACCCCTCCACTGACATGTCAACTCCCAAGTATCGTGAAAATTTTCACTTTTTCCATACTCCTTTTCACCAATGTGATATCCAATTTTTCTATATCTAAATCATTTGATACCCTCATCACCTTATTCTTATCTATGTTCACTTTCAGCTTTCTGTCTTTACACACACTCCGAAACTCGTCCACTAACCTTAGCAACTTTTCTTTATAATCTCCCATAAGCACGGTATCATTAGCAAAAAGTATTTATGTCAACTCCCATTTTGTATTTGATTCCCCATAATTTAATCCCACCCCTCTCCTGAAACACCCTAGCATTTACTTCTTTTACAACCCCATCTATAAATATATTAAACAAACATGGTGACATTACACATCCCTGTTTAAGATCTACTTTTACCAGGAAGTAGTCTCCCTCTCTTCTACATACCCTAACCTCAGCCTCACTGTCATAAAAGCTCTTTAAAGCATTAAGTAACTACCTATTCCATATACTTGCAACATCTGCCACATTGCTCGCGTACCTACTCTATCATATGCCTTTTCTAAATCCATAAATGCAATGAAAACTTCCCTACCTTTATCTAAATACTGTTCACATATATGCTTCAATGTAAACACTTGATCTACACATCCCTTACCCACTCTATAGCTTCCTTGTTAGTCCGTAATCCTACTCTCTGTCTTACCTCTAATTCTTTCAATAATAACCCTACCGTACACTTTACCTGGTATAACCAGTAAACTTATTCCCCTATAATTATTACAATCTCTTTTGTCCCCCTTCCCTTTATATAAAGGAACTATACATGCTCTCCGCCAATCCCTAGGTACCTTGCCCTCTTTCATACATTTATTAAACAAAAATACCAACCACTCCAACACTATATCCCACACCACACCACCATGCACACTATCACCCACACCACCACCCACACTATCACCCACACCACCATGCACACTATCACCCACTCCACCACCCACACTATCACCCACACCACCACCCATTGTGGCATGCAAAGAGTACGTAACCTTTATTCGGCGCATGTACACACCCTCATTTACAGGCTATCTCCCCCAACCAGCGAACCAGGGAACTAAGAGTTGACGATGGGGCCCAGTCGTTCAACCAGTACCCAGGTTCCAGCCAATAAGAAGATGGTTTTGGCAATCACAGAGGTTATGTGGGTACCACTCTCCTGTCTGCCCTTGTCATTCCCATTCACTTGCTTTAGTGATGAATATGGGGAATACATTTTTGCTAATTTTACTGAAAGAAACCCCAAGACACCTATAACAATCGGTGCCATTTACCGGATACCTCACACAAACATCCCAAATTTCAGTGAGAAATTCAAGTCACTAATAACAAACAGACAAATGAATAAGCACCACCTTCTCTTAGCTGGATACTTCAACATCAACCTTGGCTTACTAGATGATCAGCCTGTAACTGATTTCATCAACAATATGAACAACCAGGCTCACTGAGACAAGTGCAACCATAATAGACCACATATGGACCAATATACTAGCCCCCCTCAAATCAGGGATAATCAGAGATAGCACTACAGACCACTACCCTACCTTCCTCCTGACAAACATTAGTAAACCACCACTTGAATACAACAAAGTCTCATTTAGACTCCATAACGAGGCCTCAATAAGGAAGTTCA